GCGCCTTGGAAAGACCTCCAGGGTTATCGCCCAGGCCTCAGCCCGTGGCATTTTGGGCCATTGAAAGTGATCTAGGCAGCCTTCCAGACAAGAGCAAACCACAAAAGGAAATAAGCAAAGAGCAGCCGAGGAGGCCTGACCCCGTGGGAGGATCAAGGAGTGGAAGGAAGCAGCCCTGTTTACATGACATCTGGGCCGTTGTCTGAGCTCTGAGTTGGAGTTCCCGAAGGGCAGGAAGAATCTTGCCGCAGAAGGAAAGATGCACGCAGAGGACCTGAGGCAGAAAGAAGCAGGGCAAGTCTGGAGTTGTGCAGAGCTGGCCAGAAGGGCAGGAAGTCAAAGCCAGCGCGCTGGGCTCAGACCAGGCGGTGCCGGCCGAGGCCCGCAGCACAGTGCCCAGCGGGTCCTGGGGGCAGCAGGAGGCCCCGGAGACGGCGCAGCGGCGGCTCGGACGCAGGGCAGAGGCAGAGGACGAGTCGTGCTGGGCGCAGGGGCTCAGCCGGGGCCGGGGCGCCCTCTCCGCAGCCCCCGCGAGGCCGCGTCTCCCCTGGCTTTCCGCAGGTCCAGCTGGAGGTGCACGCGCTGGGCTTGCTCGCCCTTCTCCTGCATGACTGGGAAGACCGGGCTGCTCCGGGCTCCGGGAGGCCGCGGCGCAGGCCCGGAGCCAGGCAGGAGGCCGGGGAGTTCACGCTGCCCTTCCCAGCTGCTGGCAGGGCGCAGGCCGCCGAGCTCAGGGACGGCGAGAGCCCACCGCAGTGCTGGGTGCTGGGTGCTGGGTCCAGCCCGCTCCACCCAGTTGGCCTTGCACAGTCCCTGAACGCCAGTCTGTGCGTGGGAGACTAGAAAAATAGTCGGACCTAGTACGGAGGCTTTGAATGACGATTAAACGAAAACCCTTCTAAAGGGCCTGGAATAGCTGCGGCTCCCGGCTCACCCACACGGTTGCTATGTGGGGCCTTCCCTGAGGCGGGAGGCTGGTGGTCTCTGTGTACTTCAGGAAGTAGGGGCGATGCTGTCGGTCTGCTCCATAGTTGCCGAGTGTCTCCTCAAGCGAGAGGTGAAGTTGTTTCCAGTAGTTGCAAACCCCTGAGCCTCAGGCGGAAGATGGGTCATTTGTGTCCACTCTACTTAAAATCCTCAGATAAGGAGAGGAAATTATCCTGTCAGCGTGCTATCTCTAGAGGGGAGGTGTCGTGGGACTCACTTTGACCTTTGCAGTGTGTGTCCCGCCCCCGGCAGAGCAGAGGCTACAGCACGGAGGTAAAGTTGTCACGGGGCTTACCTTCCTATCTGTGTCTTCTCTTCTAAGCGAAGTGTCTTTCCTATGCACGTGTTGAGTAAATAAATTAATAGCACTTCATGAGCTTTAAATGTAATTAATGAGTAACTATTGCATGTGCTTCTAATAGACTCCTGGGAATTGATTTTCAGTGATCTAATTTGGAATTATATAAAGAACCAAAGATAATGTAATATTCTGAGTAAATAAATTGTCCTACAAGGCGGTTTAACAAATTCATATTATTCATGAAAGGGGATCCTATAAACGCTCTACCAAGATTACATTTCTAAGCACAAGAGTGAAGTCTAGTACGCTCAAAAATGTGAGTGTCTCTGGCTGGCCATTAGAAAAGAAAAGTTAGTTTTTGTGACAAGCATATCGTTGTATATTGAGCTGTGTTGTAATTGCTATAGCAGTCTACTGACTATTCCTGAGTAGAACAGGAGCTTGCATTGCTAGGGTTCACACTGGGGGACAGGTCTTTCTTGTTTCAGTTTTGCTTCAATTTCCAAGGTTCACAGTGGTTTTCTTTACAAAAAGATGGTCCACTTGAACATGTGGGTTTAGGCAGGCATTCTGTGCTATAAAATTTCCCTCCAGGACACTGGCAGGAAAGGCTGGACAGTAATTTTCCATCACGGAGCTCTACAATACTGTGGATTGCAGGATAGAAGTTTTTTTCATGATGTTTCCCAGGAGGTTTTCCCAGGAACTTGGAGATCTGTGTTGCCCTTTATGGGGTCACTGCATCTTCTAATGTGACCAGCAGAGTGTCTTCTCAGTGAGCTGAGTATGGGGGGGGGAGGGCAACCAGCACCACCCCATCTGCACCACTGATGCCCTAGGAGGGAGGATGGCACCGTTAGTGTGGGACAGGACCATGCTTTGACCCTTCAGATGAGGAGCAGCTCGTGGTGACTTCCCATTCTCACTGTAGGCAAATCAGGAAATCAGTCATTTTCTATAACTGTGCCCAAATCATTAAATCTGTCATTTACTGAAGTTAGAACTGCATGGAACCTGAAAGGTAGACGCTTGTGTCCTTATCACAGATACAATTCTCATTGCTTTAACTGCTTATCTTTATTCTGGAAAATATGCCTTTTTTCCAAGCCCCACAGTTCAATTGTAGCTACTGACAGCAATTTAAATAGCATTTTAACAAAATAGCCTAGGCGCCGACCACAACAAGGGCACTTCTAAAGTAAATCTTCCTCGGTTAACAGCTGTCAACTGTCAACGAGCTACAGATAATTAAATTTGAAGATGCTTTATGGCTCAGAAAAATAGATAAAAGTCTGTGGACCAGAAAGGTCTTCAAGTTGATGGGGTTGTTTCTCCCTCTGGTATTTGAATTAATGCAAGAAATTGATTATTTTCTAAGGAAACAGGTAAAAAAGAAAACCTGCCATTTTTTGTTAGTTGCAGATAGAATTCAGTAGAGGCTATTTTCTTAACCGAGACCACACTTTTGGTTTTATTTCAATATAGATTAAGAAAAGAAGGGGAAAAAGGAAAGAAAAGAGAATATTTTGGGGGGTGAACATCTGAAATAAACAAACTGTAGAACACAGGGTAAGAAAGAGGCAGTTGGAGGCTTTGGACACAAAAATGGATCTTCAGAATTTTAGTAGCTGTATGATCAGTGCGTCATGTTCATGTAACTTTCTTTACAATAAGTATGTATTTCTGAAACAGGGAAAGAGAAGCTCAATTTAAGCTGCCTAAAAAGTCATAAGGTTTTTAATTTATATACACTAAGTAGCCCAATGATAGTGCAGTTCTAGGGTTAGTTAAGTGACTCTATGATTTCTTAAAGAACCCATATTTTTTCCTACATTTCTTCCTGCCATTCTTAGCAGTCTTCTCAGAAAATATAATTTCTCCAAATGTGGCATGTGCCAGTGATATCCAGAAATAAAACCAAGTAACCACCATTTTGGGGTGCAGCAGTGCTGAAACTCAAGAAGCCAGTCTGGGTACCTGGCAGAGGCCTCCTGTAAGCTTCTCTGGCAGAATAGGTCATATGACCACTTCATTCCCCTCCCTGGCTAGGGCTGGGATCAAATGGCTGACATGCATGAGCTGATCAACAGTGCAGTGTGCTTCAAATAAATCACGTTTATTATAATTAAAATACATGTTGCGTTAATCCTCCTCCAAGCCTTCCCTTGTTTGGACCACACTTACTCCATCTATCTTGCCACTTTCTGAAGGAGGTCTGGAAGACCTCCTCATAAATTCAGTTGCTGAGTGCTATCCAATGGCAAGGCAGCTCTTAAAACACAGCAGTGCCTAATCAGCATGTCCTCATCTGCTCTCTTTATCTGGAGTGGCACCTTGTGACCAAAACTACTTGAAGGATGCTATGCCTTACATTCTGCTCTGGTGTTCCTAGAAAACAGGTCAAGCTTCTGACTGCTTTGTCTTCTCATGTGTTCAAGAGCTCACAGAATATAATTTGTGGTTTCCTAATAAGACATTTATTATTTGCTATTTTGATTTACATCAAACTATAGCCATATCAAAATTTCTAGAAATGCATTTGTGATTACATGGCTAACATTTAGCAACTGTTCATCAGGAAAGCAGTAATCTCAGAAAGCAATCCGTTTCATAGTTTGTCATTCTCTTAGGATCACAACCAAAAGAACAAAGAAGGGCTAGGGATTTAGCTCAGTGGTAAAAGCACCTGCCTGGCAAGTGCAAGGTCATGAGTTCAAATCCTGGTACTGGAAGAAAAACAAAAGAACAAAAAGATAAATAAATGAACTCATGTCTCTTAGAGACAGATAAAACTGTCTTAAAAGCCTCAATTTTAGGGGCTGGGGATTTAGCTCAGCGGCAAAGCATCTGCCTGGCAAGGTCGTGAGTTCGGTTCCCGGTACTGGAGAAAAAAAAAAAAAAACAGAACAAAGAAATTCCATATCAGTCGAATAGCAGTGTCTTAAATGGTACCAACGAGCATTTTGCTTACAGAGAAAATTGCGTCTGCAATGACAGTTGGTGGCTGTTTTTATTGTGTGATACGTCCATTGTCTTCACTGACTACACCAGCAGATACTCAATGTAAAGAAAGTTCGGCAAATAGGAGGCACTGATTGTACAGATACTAAAATTCTGAAAATTTATATATTGTCCTTTGTTATGGATGGGCAGAGTGTCATTTAAATGGCATCACTTCCTGAATGAGACAGAATGGAAAAAATAGATTTTTCAAATGATTTACAGAGAAATATATTAGACTCATTAAAATTATCTTGACGATGTTAGTCAATGAGTTAGCATGGGAAACAATATTAAAATGGTATGTGAATTGAATTCAGAAGTAAATAAGAGGATAAGAAGATATTTTCTCTATTATTGGTTTTCTTTCATGTTCAGTCTACAAACTGTATTTTACTTATTTCATCTATTCTAATTTTACACTGATGGCACTTATGAATAAAATAAACTTGAAATTATTGCAAATATGAGTAACTGAATCAAATGTTATTGTCATAAATTTCAACATTGCAATTGATATTTATCTTACTTTCACATAAAGGCAGTAATTAAAATATCCATTAGCATAACTGCATTTTCAAATTAATTTATTTCTGTAGGAAACATGTATTTTGCCTTTTCTGGCAAATATTTCTGTAAGGCTTTTTTATGAAAACAAAAGCATTATGAAACCAAGATGCTCTAGTTTTACAAGCAGTGTTTACTATTTCAGAACTTCAAGCAACCAAGACCTTTGAATACTTCAGCCTGTCCCACCACCCATTAGACTACAGGATTTTACTGATGGATGAAGATCAGGACCGGATCTATGTGGGCAGCAAAGATCACATTCTTTCCCTGAATATTAACAACATAAGTCAAGAACCTTTGAGTGTAAGTGTTTCATTTTCATGTGGATAATCATGATGATTGACCTTCTGGGGTGCTTTTCCTAAGGTTTTCAAAAACAGTGAATTCATTAGAACAATAGAAGATACATGTCAATCTATATTAAGGAATTTAGTTTTAATTTAAAAGCTAAAAATTCTCCCTAATTTTTAACAATATAACATCTGGAAAAGTACTTCCTGCATATACATCTATAGGAAAAAAGCAACATGTGTTATATCACTACAGACAAAACAAAACAAAACAAAAGGTGAGATTAAGGGAGACCTAGCATATCACCTGTATGCAATCAAATGGGGGTTGAAAAGAGCACAGGTGTTAGACACATAGCTATCTGAACAAGTGTGATCCATATTTATTATTCTATTTTATAACAAGAATGAAAAATCAAGTTTGATTGGGCTAAACTAATAAAAGTAGATAAATTATGGATTTATTGCAGTGAGGAGCACTTATTATGTTCATAAGAACAATAGGATGATAGCTTAAAATAGTAAGCTTTCTTGCCAGATCTGACCTAAGACTGTTGTGTTTAGAAAACCAGCACATTTTCTGAGAGAAGATTTCTTGGGTTTTATCCAAGCTCTTTTAGCTTTTAAAGTATGCAGGGACTCACTTTAAGTAAATCTACTACTCAGGCCCAGTGGTTAAACAAAAACAATATTAAACTAGGTAGTAACATAAATGTAAATTCGTTGTGATATAAGCAGATGGGAAAACTGTACTGTAAGTTAAATGGAGTGAAATATGCTTATATTGTGCACTTTATACTAATTATGACCTTATTTTAATATATGGTTAGTAAATGGGGCTATATTATTGAAATGATTTTGTTAGAGGAAAAAATAATGGAAGTAATAAAAAGATAATTATCATAACATAATGGAACATTAACTCAAGTTTGTAACACAAAAGAGCAAAGAATTTTGAAATATAAATATGGAGATACCTGGGGAAAACCTTTTAGCAAAAAGAAATAAAGAGCATTGAACCATCGTATATCCCAGTGAGACTGTGCAACCTCTATTTTCCTTTCTGAGCAGGTCTTCTGGCCAGCATCTACCATCAAAATTGAAGAGTGCAAAATGGCTGGCAAAGATCCTATGGTAAGTACTTTGAAAAAAAACACCTGAACTTAAATATTTGGGCTTTAGGTCCCTCTACTTTCAGTGCAGCCAAGAATGAGACAAAGGTTTTACATCCTTGGCTAGACACATATTGAAAATGTAAATGTGAAGAGACTGGAATTCTCACCATCTGTAATTCTGGAATTCCTGCCTGGATAAAAATTTCCTGCCTTGTTTGCATTATTTCATGCAGATACTTTTCATGATGAATTTCAGTAATAACCCCTGTTCCAAATGGATCCAACCTGCAGAATGCTCAGCAGGCTGCTGAAATAATGATATTGCAAGTGTCTGGAGCAGGTCCCAGATACTGTGGGGGCTTTTCCACAGATTCTCAGCAAAGCAATAGGGATTAGTTGGCACATTCCAGAGACATCAATCACTAGTGATGAACAGTATCTTGTTAATTAAAAAATAACCACAAAACCACCATCAAGGCAGATAAGAGTATTGATAAATATTCAGTGCAACTGTTGTGCAAATAATCTCCCCCTTAATGTAACTCAATATAAAGGGTCAAGTGAGAAATCTGCATTGATTTCTAGAAATGACTTACTGACATTGACACCTAAAGTGGTTCTTAAATCCTGTAAAAGAAATGCACGAAGCCTATCTTTATTGTGTTCAAACCACACAATCAAGCATATATGCCATTTCATGTATATGCTGAAATTCCTGAATAATAATATGAAAGCAAGTATCAAAATCACCAACTCTCACAAATAATTCAGAAAGAGGTTGCACTGTTCCTCGTGTACTTTTTTCCAGTTATTCATGAAGTAAATACTGATTGGGCACATTATGTATCTGGCATTGTGCTAGTTGCATGAGACATAATTTGTACAAGAACAGACAGGGTTCTGGCTTTAATGAACCTTGTGATCTTGATGGAAAAGCAAATCTTAATTAAATGAGCACGGAAGTACATGTTAATTAAAGAATGAGGTAGAAATACTGTCACTGGGTAGAAAATCTAGTAAATTTACACACAAGGGATGATCAAAAACTATAGTATGTGTTTAAATCTTTAACAAATTTCACAGTAAAAGACATGTCTATTAATCCCTTCAAAATACTCCCCTCAGTTTGAACACACCCATCCCAGCCGTCTTACTGCTGTTGGAAGCAGTTCTCCTTTCTTGTGAGTGTCTTATAGTGAATCCCATAGCAATATCCCATGCTGTGGTTGCAGTACGGCAACCACAGAAGAGCAGGCTCATAGAAACAGTCCAGAGTGCCCTCATTCCTCTCATGCACAAGATCTGGCACTTCCTAAAAATCAAGATGGCCTTGAAGGGTAAAGGTCTGGAATCAACTTGGGACGATGAGGCAGCCATGACAGTGCAACCAAAGACACTCATGGGAAAAGACTTCCACAGCTATGCTCCAGAGAGGCAAGAAGAGTGGGATGAGCGTGTTCAGAGCGAGGGCAAGTATTTTGATGGGATTAATGGTGACATGTCTTTTACTGTATTGATTTTAAAATTCAAGCCTTGACTGCATTTTGCGATCACATCTCGTAAATATGCACACCGTGGTCTGAGGTCATGATCAATGGTAGTCTCAACTAAGTGTCAGAAAATGTTGGCTAAGCGCTTATGTTGCAGCAGAGGCAGGAGATGCCTATAGGAGTGAAAGCTGTGCTTTTGTAGTGAGTGTTCCAGAGATTCCTCAGGCCGAGCCAGTTTGGGGGAAGAAAAACTAATCTTTGTGGAAGTGAAACTTACTTTCATTGACTCTTCGGCCAGTCACCGGGGTAAAGTTTCAAAACTGTCTGGCTCAAGACAGGGCCCAGGGAGGACTGGAATGCAAGACCCGTGCTCCTTCCTAAGTTCTTGGCCAGAGAAATTACGAAGAGTGACTCAGATCTGGGCCTCGCTTTCTGTATTTTCCAATTCACCTAATAAGGAGAACCAAAAAGAGGGCAGATGAAATTGCCAGGACATTTTATTTTTTCCCTGAGATCCCAAGGATTTCCTGGACCAAAATCTAAGAAAAAAAATCCAGAAACATGTGGAAGAAATGTTCAAAAGAGTACATCGCATAGCCTTCCAAGGATTCAATAGTAGAATGAGGTATAATGTTTTGGAGAATGATGTTTTGTCCCTTGAAGCTGTTATTTCAATCATTGAACAAGAATTAAACCATTTATTTTCTTCTAACGAAGAGATGTCTTCCAGTAATGTGTATCTTGTCTTGCCAATGTGAACATGTCTTGCCAGTTGCCACAGTTGTATCCTGTGGGGATATAACTGATTTTATTGTCCTTTGTTCAGAAGGATTGGCATTGCTCGTTCGTAGTAACTACCATGGGGAGAATATGTAGGGTGTAGATACCTTTGTATATTCTATTTCCAAAACCTGACTGCTGACTTTCTGAAGAATCTTAGCCAAGTCATTTGATTTTGCTCTCCTTTTGGGAGAATAGAAATCCTCTATTGTTTGCTGTGTTATAATTAAAGCCACTAGATAAAATCTTCAACATGTGCTTATATTTTCCTATAGTTGTAGCATGCTGGATTATCTTTCAGGGATATCTTAAGTTCTTCTGGATGGCCAGTTGCTATGTACCTGGGAAACAACTAGAGGAGGGCTCTGCTGTAGGTACTGTTAGGGCTCAGCGAGACAGGTTTTATTTGTCTGTGTATCACTGTTGAGTCTCAGAATGTAATAATCAAGCTGATTCTTCCCAATACACCCACTGGCTGAGCGGAAGAAGAGGATGTCCAACAAATCCATCTCATTTCTTATGCACCAAGAAATAAGTTGGATTTCCAGACAAGTATCTTTTAATGAGCCACAGAAAAAGCCAGTGGGAGAAAAATAATGTGAAAGAGATCTTGGAAAGTTCTACAGAACAACCTGTTTTTATTACATGTCCCACTGAAACCAAGAATTTCAGGGTGTCTTAACATTATCCAAATGAATGTCATCTAGTAATTTAATACTCATTATTAAAAACACAGGAATGGAGAGTTTTACTTTGCATGCATCAGTTGTTGTGAACGAACTAGAGGTAAATACGATTCCATTTCCAAAAGCCTTTCCTGTGTAGTAGAAGGGACAACACGTACAGGCAGCGCTTATCAGATAATGATACCCACTGCTTCAGGGAACAGACCAGGCACTGTTCTAACTGCTTTATTTTGATCCTGATAACAGTGCTACAAGATAAACATGACTGTCACCACCCACATCTTTAAGATAAAGAAAGCAAACAACTAAGAGAGAGGAATTTACTCAAAGCCGTAGGGAGCACCTAGGATGCTCTGCACCTGACCCAGGACATAATGCTTTAGATCCTCCACCCCTTGCCACTAATACGGGCCCCTCCCTAGGAGAAGCTGACACATGCTAAGGGCACACACAAAAGTCAGAAGCACAGTGCGGCTGAAATATGTTGGAAAGCTTTGATAGGCTTGGTGACAACCATATTAGATCCATTGTTAACCTTTCCCCTATTTTGTTCCAATGATGCTGAAATTCAAATAAAGCAGGTGCTGTCTCTCCTCAGCCTCTGGCATATGTCACCTCTGAGTATCTTCTGCTTTGATTATCTTTAGTGCTTTTTGATGGAAAAGCATGTGCTGTCCTTTGGGGTGGGAGTCACAGGCGAGCCTTACCTGTCTATCACGCCTGGCTGCCCCGCCCTGCAGGGTGTGCACTGGGTGGAGCTGAGGGTGTCTCCCTCTGTGGAAGAGCTGTGTGACAAACACCACCTCTGTCCCTGGGCTCAGATCTGCGTGCATGCACCTCATAAAATTTAAACAGCCCTGAATTGATGGAGGGGGAAACCAGTAGGCATGAGAATCTGTTCCGAGTGATTTTCGGGGACTGGGCATGAGACACCATCTCAGACACAAGTCCATCAGTGCTTTCAGAGCAATGAGGCTTGTAGGAAATTCACTCTGTGCACAGTTCAGAAGTACATTTTTCTTAAACGTTTTTCAGCTCATAGAAATATTAACCATCTGTTAAGCAACACAAAAAGTGGTGGCAAATAAAATCCATACTGCTATAACAACAGAAAGGAAAAGTAAAACAGAATAGAGCCTCCCATAATCTTTCAGATTTTTTAGTTGTGTTGAATTCTAATTAAAATTATAAAAACATTAATATTTAATTATGGGATAAAAATGCAATATAACTTAAAATGTGATCCCAGTTAATAAATGCCATAATCCTATAATAAATATGATTTATAAAATAGATAAGTGGTGAGAATAGAGCAAGTTGTCTGCTTCAGCTAAAGAAAGTAAAACGTATTTTCCATTTTTCTCCCTTCCCCTATGTACTAGTCAGCTTTTCATAACTATCATGAAATGACTGAGACAGGGTGACCTTATAAAGGAAAGAAGTTATCAGCTCACAGGGTTGAGGGTGGAGCACAGCACTGGACTTAGCTCATGTCCATGGTGGCCTTCTTCATGGAGGGGTCTCGAAGTGGCACATGGCATCACAACAAGATACAGAAAGTGTGATGTGTGTGTGTGTGTGTGTGTGTGTGTGTGTGTGTGTACGCACACATATGTGTTCTGTGTCTCTTCCTAGCAAGCTACCAGGACTTTTAATCATGAGTGTTCCACTCCAGTGACCTTGTCTAAACCTAACCACTTTCCAGAATGCCACCAGAGTTAGTCTGAGTGCACTGAGCAATAAGCTCCTGCATGAGTGCAATGCCAGGGGCTGCACATTTTCAAATCCCAGCACCCTGCAAATTCACCCTCCCACCCAGGCCATTTATTTCTAACTGTTAACATCTCATTCCAGCAGTAATTTGAGTATAAGCAATAGCACATGCTGTCAAATGTATCTAATGATAAAGATTTAATGAAGGAATTAGAAAAATATTTAGGATATCATGGAAAAATTAAGCTGAAATAGATGCACATATGCATAATATACACACAATGACAAGCTGATTTATTAATTATGTAATATGTTTCCTTATTTCTATAACCAGATGATCCTACACTACTGCAAAATGTGTGTGTGTGTGTGTGTGTGTGTGTGTTTTTTACTTAATGTATATTCTTTGGGAATCTCTGTCAGAATTCCTTGACTAAGTATAGTCCAAGAAGAAAAGAAAATAATTTTTTAAATTGTATAACTTGCACCACAGAGAGTCAATATTTTTATGTATGTATTTATTTATTTGGTACCCATAATCGAACTCAGGTCCTTGTGCTTGCCAGGCAGGAGCTGGCCTGGAGAGTCAATATTTTTAAAAGCCTATTTACCTCTGCTCCTAGATATATTTTAAAAACATATATTTTGTATATTGCTAAACCAATGTATGTTCAATATAGAAGTCTTGAAAAGCCTAGAAAAGCACACAGAATGTAATAGAAGGTAAATCATCTATTAGCCCTTTGACCTAGGCAACTTAACTTCTCTGGGTCTCTTTCTTATCTGTGAAATGTGCTCATCATATTCTTGTTTGGTCATTCAGGTAAGCAATAAGTTAATATATGCATGGAGTTTAAAATAATACTATACAACAAAGAGTAAACACTACATCACTCTTTAAATAAATTGTATTATTGAAGCATGACCACTTAACTCTTTAGGGTATATTCTTCCAGCATTTTCTTATGTAGATGTGTATGCATATATGAAGTAAAATGGTATTACATTCTTATAAGGTTAGTTACCCTTATTTCCGCCAAGAGAGAGGAGGAAACAATGAAAAGAAAGCATGTATGGTATTTATTTCCACTAAAATCTCAGGCTTTCTTCTTTCTTCTACTGTCAGTCAGCTTCTGTAGCGAGCTGTGTGCAAGACAGACATCTGGTCCACTTTCCACTTCCCATGGTTCATAAGGACCATATAAAGAAAAACTGTCAATGGAAACACCCAATATGTGATAGTTACATGTGTATCATGTATCACCTCTATTCTAACTTGATTAATACATAGCTCTCACCACCGATGTTACCACTGCCTTTCTACACACCAAAGGTTGAGCCACAGAGAGGCTCCCTAACTGCTGCAGTTTCTAACAGCTAGGGAAAGAAGGAGCCAGGATTTGGAGCCAAGGTTTGAAGCCAGGGCATCTGGCTCTCAGATCTGAGGCATGACTGTCTGAGGACACTGGTGAGATGACCCAGGATGGACCAACTCAGCCAGTTGCCGCTGGCTTCACCGCAAAGCAATCCTCCAACCCTCCTAGGCGCTGTTCCCCCATCCATCCTGCATTCTTGTGCCTTTGGTTTTGGTTCATGCTGTTTCCCGCTGGAATGTTCGTTCCTTACACTTTTCCCCATCAAAATCACTACCTTATTCTGCAGGACCAGCTCAAATACCACCTCTGCTTAAAGCTGTGCACTAGTTCAGCACAGTATACTTTCTCTTCCTGACCTCTGCAGCACGTTAAAAACATATCATAGCACCCATCACAGCCTGATTTATTATTGTATATTTTTTTTTTTTGCACACAGGAAATTGGTCTATTTCTCTCAGGGTTGCTAGCACCACATGCAGTGCTTTGCATATTACATGTTGAACAAATATTTGCTGGACGTGAGGACACAGAGGTATAGAAAAGCTGCATGGTGGGCCGGGTCCTGGTGCAGGTCTCGGACCAGTTCCCCATTAACCCTGGAGTACCTCATTCACTCTGTCTGGGACCCAGCATCCTTTCACTAAAGTTGGATACTAATATTCAGAGCACTGCTGAGAGAGTTAACACAAGCCACATCTAAGTAGTAAAAGATTTGTAAATGTTAGTAAATGTTAAAGAAAAGTATAAAAATTTACTTACATATTAATAACTGTTACAAAAACAACTATGGATTCCTCACACATACAGTGACCACTATAAATTGACTACAATCACAAAATTCAACTGAGAACCTCATGTATTTGAAAAATATGCTTCAGAGTTTCTACCTTTGCGACCTCAGGCAAGTTACCTAAGAAAATCTCTGAGCTTTATTTTTCGAAAACTGAGTTGTAAAAACACCAACAGCAATAGCAACAATAAAAATAATGAAAATGATGTAACTAAGTAGCATATACTGAATATTTACTAGATACCAGCCAACAAGTTGAAAATCAAACCTCCTGAGAGACTCAAATTGGTAAAATATGCAATGATTATTTCTAAGTCTAGTGCAGAGTGAACTCTAAAAATCATTACCTATAAGGAGCAGATAGATCAATAAATAGACTAACATGAAATGAGTATAATCTGTATTTAAAATATAAAACTGCTTTACTCTGCCATTCTTATCATACCAGTGATTCATGAAAGTAAATTATCCACAAAATTCAAAATGAGGCAGACACAACCTGCTATTAAAAGAATTAGGTTGAATTCATGCCTTATGGGAAAGTGTTCTATACAGAATCGCAGAGTGACTAGCCTTGAATGTGAAAAATATAAGCACAAGTCTCCTTGTTCACAGATTTTCTTAACATAGACATATTATATACAAACCATACTTCCTCTCCATCTCCTTCTAGGGAAACGTGATCATCTGCACTTCTATAATCAACTTCTCGATACCTCTATAAACAGGTGTCAAGATACAGTGACACTGTGTATTTAATGAAAATCCTTACTGTCTTAACATACAAATAAAATGTATAGTCTGGTCTGTAAAAATTAATTTCTTTGACAGTAGAGTTCAGGACTGATTATTTAACAATAAAAATCTATAATAGAAACATCTGTATAAAATTAGTAGGTATGAAAAGAAACATACATTCCCTGACAAGTAGTAATGAATATAAAAAATGATGAAAAAGTAAAATAATCTTGATTTTAATTTAAATTTAAGTTCTACTTTGGTAAACTTTGCGTGTTTTACTTTTACAGTAATATAAATAATAAATATAGGTTGCCTTCTAAAAATCAGGGCCACCTAAAAGAATAAAGAGGTAGCATGTGCTGTCTGACCCCATAGACAAAAACTACCGTTAATCTTTGATATATTTCTCTTACACAAAAGTTCTTCCTGTAATGTTAAAATTATTCCCAGTTATGTGCTTTGAAATAAGTGATTTGGGGAAGGGCTGACATTTAATCCCAAGTTTATTAATTTTTAATAAGCAATGGAGAGGGAGCCCAGCAAATGTGGGCCAGGCAGTGGTTCACTCAAATTCTAGGAATGTAAGATCTCCTACAAGTTCACACCAATTTGAGATTAAAATACTCATTTTGTGTTTGATTTTGAATAAGGAAATGAGTACCTTGCATTTAGCTGCACTGTAAGAAGGTGAGAAGGAAGGTTTGTGGGGGAAGGCATACTTCAGGGGATCAAGGGTAGAGGATTGATTATATCGTTCTTTACAGAAAGCAACAAGTATGCTGGTGCTTTTTGTTAGTTTTATTCACCAAAGGTAAGGATCAGTAGCATTTGTCATTGTGTGCTAATAGTGAAAAGGAACTTACGCTCAATTTCATTGGAAACAACTATGTATGATCTCCTACACATGAGGGAACAACACGTATGTCTCTGGTAAACAGTTTATACATTTCAGAATAAAAAATTATACTGTACTGTATATAAGACAGCACAGTATGAGCTAGGGATTTTCAGTAGTGTCTAATGCAGATTGCTACTTCCCTAAAATAAATCAGTAGAATAAACCATTTTCTTCTGCTATTATTTCCTCAGCCTCGTCACCTAGTATGTGTGACAAGGCAGGGCAGACCTGCAAACGCGCCGCCTAGAATGTGTAAATTCTGTATACTTTATTAAGATGTATAAATTTGAAAGCATTTTCACTTTAGGTCCCAGACGTAGTAAAGATTTATGTAAAAACAGAAAACCTAGCACAATGGGACAAGCTTGTTCACCTGGGTTCCACAAGGGTGGAGGTTTTTGTATGCTGTATTCACTGAAAATGCCTAAAATGTTGACTGCAGCAGAGCTTAAGGTTGACAGTCAATAGCAGTTTGGGTTTGGTTCCTGTAATGTTTTTCCTTTCCCACCATTTTTTTCCCCTCAGGGCACTGAATGTCAATATTTGACTTGTTGTACCACGAGCTCAGGGACTGTCCCCACGTTACCTGTATGAAGCACACAGAATACCTCAGGGCTTGATATCCCCTCATTGTTTCCAATTACACAAAATCTCAAGTGAATGGAGTGGGTAGAAATAGTAAAGAAAGTTGCCAAGTCTCTAACTCCTTTTGCATCCCTTCTTCCAGCACGGCTGTGGGAATTTCGTCCGGGTCATCCAGACTTTCAACCGCACCCACTTATACGTATGCGGGAGCGGTGCTTTCAGCCCGGTCTGCACCTACATAAACCGAGGCAGGAGATCCGAGGTAAGGCGGCCATTCATCATTCTCACTTTTGATGTTGGGGTCAGAGATTTTTTTGAATGGTGTTTTAGGTTATAAATTTGGAAATACTAATACAGTGCTTAAAATATTTTCATGCTTTTAAAACACCAAATATATTAACTTTTGTCTGCCAACATACTTAAGATACTTAATCTTTTGCCTTCAATTTAAGCATATGTGTGTATGTGTGTATGTGTAAAAGCTCTAAAAAACAAAGAAGAAGGGGTGAGGATATAGTTCAGTGGTGCAAGCACCTACCTGGCAATTGTGAGGTCATGAGTTTGAGTCCCAGTACCAAGAAAAAACAAAAAAGAAAAAAAAAAAGACAAAAGAAAAAATGTTACTATAATTACTTTGAAAGCAGTAAAACATCAAATTATAGAAATATTATACTATACCCTTACTTCCTTAAATCCACTTTGAGTAATTCTTATTTATCCTTAAAATTCAGTAATCTTTATGAGACATTGACCTATGTATAGAGCAGAGTTTCAAAGGTTCTTGCTGAAAAGAACTTTATAAAGTAATGCACTAAAAACTAACACCACCCTCCACTCAGCCACTCTTTCCTTATTCTTTCATGACTTAAAACGATATGGACATGATGATATGGTGTTTGCTAAAGACTGGTTAAATACATAGCGACTGCATAGTCAAATACAAGGCTAGTTGAACTTCAACTGTGATATTTAAGACTGTGTTTACTATCCCAACCACTAGTGTTGACTGAGGAGACTGTGGAGAAGACCAAGAGCTTTTCCTCATTCTTTGAGTCAAACTCATTGTTTTACTTGTTATAACCACTTTAAACATTGATATTCTTTCCAGCTGTCTTTATTTGGTACATTTTTGCAGCTTATATTTAAAAACTCCCATTCTTGTGTAAAATCTCAATTCATTTTGGAAATGAGAATTGTGGAAAAGATTAAAAATTGCTACTGAGATACTTCATAAAGTTTATTTTTCTTTAACACGAATTAAGCCACTTTAGTACTCATGTCATTGAACGATGACTGTCTTTGTATTCCTTTTTATTAAATGATGTTTTTAAGACTTGGAATTTACATATACACATTTTTGCTGTGCTAAAAATCATTTAAAACTGACTGAATCATTACTACTCAACCCCACGTTGAGGAATTTCCAAGTGAGGTTGAAGATGCTATGAAATGTTAACATTCTTAAAGAGGAGTTATGCTTCTTGGATGAATACAGTTGGCCGCCTCGAGCTCATCATTAGGACCACATGCCTGGGGTCGATTGATTAAATAAACTCCTGCCTGTGACATTTGCAATCTGTCAGATGCTCTCTGAAATCTGTGCGCTCACTGTACGGGCCAAATCTAGCAGAGCAGTGTCCAGGGTGCAGATTTTAAATAAAGTCATTTTCCCATGCACACACTGCCTGCTGTGCACTTGAAGCCTTAGTTAGAAAGTCTGTCCAAAGATGAATCTCCTTTGCAGAACCAGTGTGCAAGAAATTATAGTCATTTTTCAAAACATGAGCTACACGAGTCTCACTTCAAAAGATGCACTTCAGAGGTAGAGGCATTTCCATTAATGCGGTCTCTTAAACAATATGGGAACCAGGCACAATTGGGGTATGAATGAGTTATGGTTTTCAACCCTTGAACATTTGCCCCTATAATCAACTGTAGCATCATTTTGTATCTCGTATACAAGCCATTATGTAGACAGAGAACTAGACAGTCTTGTCAAACTTTGGATGTATTTACTTTCTGGATTAAGGATGCCCTAGCATGAAAGGATCACACAATACAGAGTTTTGCACTGAGAGGGTTCACCTGCTCCTGCAGCACTGACGTTATCTTCTACAATGGCCAGAAAGTCATGTTTTTTTAATAACACCCATGTTATTAGGATGCAGCTTTCTCCATACATTCAAAACCAGTCTGAAAGTGAACTGGGTTGGTTGGCACTCTCAGTCATAGTTCGGTTTACTTCTGAGACATCACCCTCCCCCTTTCCACTGCTCATCATTATGAAAGTTCAGTGGTTCCACAAGAGTAACTCATGAGCCAGCCAAGTGTATGCCAGGCACATGGTGGGCTGTCATGGAACCACATCACTGGCCCACTCTTTTGTAAGCAGGGCTCGGAACTTTCCTGCTGCATTTCAGCAGCGCTTATCAGGGTCCCTGCTACGTGGAGGCCCAATCGCAGTTCTTCTCTTTGAGGTCCTGTCTTTCTCCCCTGTCTTCTGTTTCTGTCTCTCTCTTTTTTTCTTTCTTTTGGTACTGGGAAGTGAACTCAGGACCTGGAACTTGCCAGACAGGCACTTACGCCACTGAGCTAGATCCCCAGCCCTCTCTTCTGTTTCTGGAGGAAAGAGAAAGCGACACAAATGAGCCATGACTCAAAGTAATGAGAGAAACATCAAGAAAACACAGAAGTTAGCTCACTTTGCTGCACAACTTTGAAATATTACCATATCCCAACCCTGGTTGGTGTAATCAGACGTTTCTGTGACATATCGTTTGGCAATTCAGTGCCACCTACACCTCCATCCTGCTACTCCTCAAGCAGATTACTTTACCTTTGATAGATCAACGAAGGGGCTGGGGATTTAGCTCAGCGGCAAAGCGCCTGCCTGGCAAGTGCAAGGTCATGAGTTCGGTTCCCAGTACCGGAGAAAAACCAAAAAAATAAAAAAATAAAATAAAATAAAAAATAGATCAATGATATCACCCACGTTATCTCCATGCTTGTTGAAGCAAATCTGTCACCCCTCCATCCGAGTGTTCATCTGAGCTCTTTCCCTATGAATAAGTTTCTTTGATCTATAAACTTCATTATACTTAACACCCTCATTTCTTTTCCATTTACCCCACCTAAATTAAAAATTAAGATTTTGTTACTTTTACTTAAAATTGTTCTTTTTGTGCTGTAAATTTTTTTCAACTCCTGTTTCCCTCTGTTTCACTTCATTACAAGGCTTCTCAGAATATCCTCTCATGCTTCTGTCTGCCACATCTTTATTAAGGCTTTCTAATAAAACTTAAGCTTCTCCCAGTTCACCAAAACTGGTTCATGACTGATGCTTCCCTGTAAGTTGACTCCCTCAGTCAGGAACCCTTGTGCAAGACTAATCTATACATTAAACTTGGGTCATGCCCTCTGTAATCACTGCCTTTTTTGACATCTGTGACCGCAGGGCATTTTCTTCTACTCTCTCTCAACTTTTTCACTACCTACTCTTTGGGCTTATTATGTTCTCTTATTGATTCAGCTCACAGCTGTTATTTATATAATGAGAATGAAGGTAGAAACAATCCATGTCAGAGCTGGAGTTAGGAGCATGAAAGTGAACTTCAGTTTTGTTCGTGCCACACTTTTACTGGCTGACCTTGGACAAGCCACATTTTCACTGTCTGGTGTGAAAGAGGAGTACTTAGGAGGCTTAGGTGCTGTGATTCTTTTTTAAGTGCTATCATTGCCTGTCGCTCTAGGGATAGCGTACCAAACTCATATGATGGAAATGAAGGTTTGCTCAACGAGTCAAAAGTTTAGAATTTTAAAAAACATTTTAGAATTTTTTTTAAAGGAGTTAAAACTTTACCATTTTTAAAAGAAATTCCCAAACTAACCAATTTCTTATAGATCGCCATGCTCTACTGACTGCCACTATGAACAATTACTTTGCATTTCTACTGCTTGTACTCAACTGCGGAGATCGTGGTGTGTCAGATTATTATGATCTAATTCTTGGAATATCCCAATAAGAAAGTAACTTGTTTTCTGAACCCAGCTTCTGCTTTTGTTTGTTCTGGTCCCAGGTATTATAAAGCTCAAGATAAAATGAAACCTTATTGGATGAGTGTTGTGATTCCTTTATTTCCATGTACAAAAATATTAACGAGTCTGTATTTCTTCCCAGTAATGTTCAAAAGAGTCAATTTAATAATTAAAGTCTCCAGTCATCTAATACAACCAACAAAAGTGAACATTTCTCCCTGATTTTTAGTAGTAGTTTCAATAAAAAAGGTTACTATTTGTACCAAGAAGCCACTGGGGTCTACATTAGAACTTTTCAGATGGACTCTGTTGACCCTAACCTCTATGTCATTTATCCCCTTAACATTTCTGCCAAACTTGGAATGCCAGCTAACATACTGTACTTTGCTTATTTATTCTCTCAATACTCTCTCTTTGTGTTATAAATTACTAGATGACATTGTGTTATAAATTACTAGACGACAAACATTTTTGTGACTTTTGCCTAGTCTAGCATCTATCACATAGTAGTGCATCTGGCACATGGTAAATGTAAAATAAAACTTTCCTAAATAAATTTTGCTTAAATAAGGGACTAAATGGCTTATTTTAATCTACACTATTAATCTTGAATCTCATATAGTGTTTTATTTACAAAGTAGTAACAAAATTTTTACTTTTAAAAATGTCTGCTTTAGGAATATTTTGATCCTTACCTTCCTTGTGCCTCTGTGGATAATTTTTTGGTCTGGGCTGATGTTCAACACTTGTAGTTCAGATAAGTAATGAGCCTTGATTTTCAAGTCATTTTGGTGATGCTGATTTGAGAGAACCCCTGCGTGGATCAGCTCTACGGGAAGTAAAATAGGATGAGAGCTGGCCCCGCTGGGGTTGGCTCATCATTTACAGATGCATTCTGCTTTACAAGGGAGTCTTAATAGAGTCAACTGGGACGCATGCGCCACATGTAATGTGCTTTTCTTTATTAAAGAACAATTATTTTAACTAGATAAACCTCTTTGCTTTACATTGTACTTGTTATGTTACTATTCTTTTATATTTTCTCTGCTATCAAGGACCAAGTATTCATGATTGACTCCAAGTGTGAATCTGGCAAAGGACGCTGCTCTTTCAACCCCAATGTGAACACTGTGTCTGTGATGATCAGTAAGTGAAAACCAGAGAGGGGGGTGTAAAGTAACATACCCAACACTGACACGAACTATGACAGTCTTCAACCTCTTCTGTACTGGAGTTGTCTTTCTAGTGTGAAGCATAGATTAATAATAAACAGTATAATACTTAGTCAGTTTTCCTTGTATTTTACTAATCTTTTTCACCTGACTGAATATGCTCTGCCTTTCAAATGAAAAATGATTGAAGTGCATGTTAAGCCAAAGCCATTCTTATAGAATGGCTGAAAAGGAAACCATGGTATTTTCGCATTTTCTTACTTCCTGTAAGATGCCTAAGAAGCAGCAGTCTCAATCACTTGCTGATACTCATGGGGCCAAATCAGTGTGATTTTGACCTCAATCACTGAAAGCTTTTTCCTGATGCACCTAGAAGATTCCCTCTTGTGATTAATTACAACCTCTTAGAATATGTCTGCATTATCATAAGTGGACTGGTAACAAATCTTGGAGTTTAGTACACCATCAAATGTGTAATAAGTGCTTTTATCTTCTTTCTTTTTTAAATGTTTTGTCAGTAGTAAATTTTCTCTTTTGACATGAGAAGGGATGAAAAATTAATTATTGTGTTCAAGTGCACCCTGAATTAAGTGCACAGCCCATCTCTCTTTCTTCTATCTAGAAACTCAGTTAGGACAGGTACACCTAACACTAACTAAAATATGAGCTTGGTTGTTAACCATGAATTTATCCCGTGCAGTCATTACAGCCAGCAGAAGTAAGGCAAAAGTATGTCATTAACACAAAAGGTTTAAAACTGCACACTATCCAATTATGTCTGATACTGAAATCAAAGTAGCAGAAAAGTTCCCAAATATTATTTAATATTAATAGTACTTTGAAAAGCTTATTCTGTATTAGGATGAGAATTTTATTCTTGCTTAGAATAAAAAACTGTAAGAAAATTATATGTGATAAAGTTAAATGTATATATTTTCATTTATATCAAGTTAACGGCTGTGAAGGTAACTTTCAAAGATGTCAACATAGTAAAGGGGCATTTTGTCTATTGATATCCACTGAATATTGTTCAGAATAAAAATGGTTATAACTTGATATAAATTTTCTTCCTAAACCATCATTTAACAGTTTTGCCTTGACAGAATTGAATTTGTTTGCAAAATTAGAGTTAGATATGGACCTTCTTGGTTTTTCACGAACTTCAGTCTTGAGAAACTAACTTGCTCCTGTTCTTATTTTATTTTTTATTATTTTGATCAACCATTACAATTTTTCTTATCAAAGAAATTGACATTAAATGATTTGCGTTACTTGAAAACTAAAAAAGAACCAGAATGCTTCAAAGTGTGTACGTATGACTTTATCCAGTTGTTCTTCTCTCTAAAATTATGCCCAATAATTTTTGTGGTAATATCACTTTACTGTATTATCGGCTCTTCTCACTTCCTTTAATTGCAATGCATTAAATGATACAAGTTGGTTAAAATAATTTTTTCTATTAAATACTAAGAAGCATTAACACTTAAAAGAATTTCAAATTCCACAATCAAATTGTGGCATCTAATTGCTTGTGCATGCTCAGTGTTCCTTTGCTATATTTATTCATTGCTATAGGACAACAAGGAACTCATATTATCATTAAAAAGACCTGCCATAAAATTCATGACGCCCAGTGAAAGTACAATTGAAAAACTAAATATTTTTCGACTCAAGTTAAAAGGCACAAGCTTATCTTTACGTAAAACCCTCCTAAGAAATTCTGAATAAAAGAATCTTTGCCCTTAAACACAATTTTCCCCACAGTGACATTAAGACTTCTTATTAATACAAAATAAAGCAGAAACTTCATAACCTGCTAATAAATCACTGCAAATGTAAGACAGGAAGTGAAGCCCATTAAGTGTGCAACCTTGTGTAACTTTTAATATATAATTAATGAGAGGATTAAATAAGCCCTAAATCAGCCTCTGTGTCTTCTCTTTCTTGAAAATAGATGTGCTAATTGATAGCTGTGCTAATCAATGTGTTGAACAGCAGGACTTTGTAGCTCATGGCCTTATAGTTAATTGCTTATAACAAAATGCAAAATAATCAGTTACAAAGGTATCTCAGTTTAACAGCCAACTCTGTGTGCATGTATGCTTCACAAGTGTTCATAAATTTCCCTTTACTGTTGGGATGGAGCCCAGGGCCTCTCACGCATGAGAGGTAAATGCTCTGCCACTGAGCTGCACCCCAACCAGATTTAAATTGCCAAGTTACCCATAAAGTCTGTTCTACACATTTAGTTCTCTCTGTGTGATGTTTCCATGACGTGGACCTGTAAAGGAAGGAGCTACAGCTGACTAAATGCTACCACAGCACACAGAAATGTTCTATTCTGCATTCTTTTCTGGTCCAACTGGGTGGCTTATTGCTGAACAGTGAGCATGAGTGTGTCAGACGGTGTCTGCAGATGCTCCGAAGGCCACAGGGAGGACCTGCCCAGCACTCAGGGAGCAGAGAGCAGGCGGGTTAATTACGGCCTGACCTGGGGAGCTCATTCTTCCTAAAGTACATATTCAGCTACGGTTCCCTGCTTGGGGTTCCTTGTTTCTTAGCAGCTTGGTGCTTACTGATCCTTACTGTGACAAAGAGGGGTAGAGATCTTCGAAAACAAGTCAATTATTAATGTCATGCAGATTAAAATATCTGAGGGAGACCCATTCATAAAGATAGGTCTTTTGTTTTACAAATATTTTCTTGTCACTATATCTATTTTTCATAACTGAGTTACAATATAAAAAATGCAGGGCCTGGGGATTTAGCTCAGTGGCAAAAAGCGCCTGCCTGGCATGCGCAAGGTTGTGAGTTCGGTTCCCGGTACCGGAGAAAAAACCAAAAAAAAAAAAAAAATGCACTTTGTTTACATACTAAGAACTTTATAGCACTAGAGATCCAAATATTCAGGGTTCACCAAAAAAAATGTATGCACACTTCAGGAAAAGAAAAATGTGTATCAATATTTTAATAGTAAATTTATCAAGGCATCATGAGATTAATAAAGTTATCGCTACAATTACAAGAGGAGCTCAAAGCGGTGGCCATCAGCTTGCAGACATTTGTTTGTTACTGTGTAAGCTGCTGCTTTGGTACCTTGCTCATTAAGATTGCTACACATGCATTTCCAGTTTTTTCTCTAAGGACCAGCAGTGTGGTGCGTTTTCTGTGATATACAGCATCCTCTAGGGTAACACCATCTGTTGAAAAAAATCATGCTATTCTTTTCCTGAAGTGTGTATACATTTTTTTAGCAGACTCTGTATATACTTTTAATAATTAGATCTTTAGCAAATTAATAATATTTTGACAGTTTGAAAGTAGGTACCATGTTATCAAGTAATAATAATGGACATTATATTTGATTAGTGAATAAAATTAGAGAAATTTTATTATGTGTTGGAAAGTTTTGAAATCACAACTTATTTTCTATATTTTATAAATGAAAAGATTAAATTTCAAGATATTAAATAATTTAGCCTGTCCCCAATCTGTCAATGATTGCCAAATTAGAAGCCAGGTTTTCTGATTTTTACAGCTGATTTATTAAAATGAAATAATTGTAATATCTTCTGTATATCTGCCATTTCTGATACATACTATATAAAACTGATAGTATAATAAAGATAGAGGAATTTTTTCTATATAATAAGTGGTCATTCTAGGGTTTTACTGTATATACAACTATGTATATGTATCATATATATATAAATACAGTTATGTATATATCATATATATAGTAATTATGCAGGTAATAAGAAGACAGCTTAAACTTTGTCCAAGATTTGTGTGATGGTGCACACCTGTAAGCTCAGTACACTGTGAGGCTGAGGCAGGAGGACTGCAAGTTCTATCACAGCCTGTGCAATTTGACAGCATAGACCCTGTGTCAGAATGAAACATAACAGGGTTGGGGATGTAGCTTGGTGTGAAGGCCCTAGATTCAATGCCCACTACTGACAAAAAAAAAAAACAAAAAGGAATTTTACAGTGAATGGAAACAAATTAACAATTACAAACATTCTGTAATATTTTAAATAACTGCCTAATAAATAAATAAGTGTCCCTTGAAATTTAAAATAGCCTTAAAAACATTTAAATTTCTGTTTTCTTTTTTGTAGATGAGGAGCTTTTCTCAGGAATGTACATAGATTTCATGGGGACAGATGCTGCTATTTTTCGAAGTCTAACCAAGAGGAATGCGGTCAGAACTGACCAACACAATTCCAAGTGGCTAAGTGGTAAGAAAACATTTCAGCGATATTTTCTTCAGTATCATGCCTTAAACTAACCTTTACATCTGTAATGGTAAAGAGGGAAAATAGTTAAAACTAAAGTATGAGGCATGACATGAACAATGCCAATTCTATACTCTAACACTTAAAGTATTTAAGATAAACATAAAATTGCACATTGTTCATAGTTGAGTTCCTTAGTTTACTACTCATTGTACATAAATAAATAGAAGTAGTATCCATCATACCTGCCAGTCCCTAAGCATCTTCTCCAGTTGTTGAAGGATAACATGCTATGATTAAATATTTTTCTTGCTTCATTTCATCTGCTTGTATGTTTTAGTAAAGCCAAATTTAAAGATCAGCTTAACTCAATGACATTTAGATTAATGAATGGATTACGTTCAAGAATTCTTCCTATTCATTTTATACTTGAATTTTAAAATGATAAAACTTGCGCATATTACTTTTTCAAAATTGGACTACTATTTCATAGAAATTCTCGGTGTGATAACCCTAAGATTATCATTCCTCTGTGGTTTCCAGTTCTTGGGGTCGTGGAATTCACATAAAAAGATGCAGATCGGGTTTTCTGGTGTGACTCCTGTCAGATGCTAGTGCTCAGAGGAGGAGGAAGCCACCAGGGATTTTGTTATTTCACCCTGAGGACCATTTCTGGCTGGCTCTGAATGTGGGGATTCACTTCTCTTGAGCAGCGAAGATTGAGTCACTACAGTTAGCCGTCTTATTTTGCAGATAGAGAGAGCAGCACAAGAAAGCATTGATTGTCTATTTACTCCTTCAAATTATTCCTCCACTGCGTCTGGAAATAGAGCATTCTGAGAGTTGTTTTGTTCTGGAAATAAGGAAACCTGTGTGTCTTCGAATGATTACATTTTTCCTGGAGAAGTTTCCCTTTCATTTCATTTGCTTTATTTTAAGGAAAATGTGCTTTTCAGATTTTGGCCTCGCACCCCTCCCTCTGCTTCAGTGAGTTTGAGTTTATGGGCCTTAGATCGAAAACCACACTTTGAAAACCAAGCACTGTTCCATAGAGCAGCCCTCCGATTTCACGAGAAATAACTGGTAGAAAATCTTTTCAAGTTTTACAAAGTCATTAGGGCGCAAATACTTGTCGCGTTTCGCATTTCCCGTGTCTCCAAAATGCACTGCAGTTGGAAGAAAGCAGTCTGAGCTGTCAAATTACAGCTCCATTTTGTGGCTCTTGACGTTGCTGATGTGGAGTGTTGAAAGGAACGCGATTGCTGCTTTTTGAAATTTAATCTCTGAACATTGAACCGTTCCTTTATGGCCAAGTGGGGGAGGGACACACCCGTAGTCGTGCGGGAAGCAGGATGTGCACGTGTTCACCGGGAGGACTTCGCGGTTTATTCCAGAACCCATGTTCGTGGATGCCCACGTCATCCCAGACGGCACGGATCCCAACGATGCAAAGGTGTACTTCTTCTTCAAAGAGAAACTGACGGGCAGCAACAGGAGCACGAAGCAGATCCACTCCATGATAGCCAGGATGTGTCCTGTAAGCACTGCGCTTGCGCTAACGGGAAGAAAACGCTTCACATTATATAAGTAGCTATTTTCAATAGTTTCTCTTCATGCTTTTAGTATCTAGAGCTACAAATATGTAAACAAATTACCGAGACAAATTCCTATAAAATAATGTGTTTATTTGCACCCATCATTTGAGATAAGCACACCGTATTTCAGGAAAAAGCTTCCTTCAGGGAAATTGGTTGTGGTTTTAAACAGATAAACAGTTGTGACTAATTTTCACATGTCTGTTTAATGCATTGGAATTCAAACAAATGGCTAAATTGTCTATTACTAAAAGAAACAAAATAATTTTTGTAAATAAAATACAGGCAAATCTCAGTAAAAGATAACAGTGTGGAACTTTCTAGAATAGTAAAATTTAAGAAATGTTGTAGAAAATACAGGTCTAAACAGTTACCAAAATGTTCTGTGTATAAATAGTAACTATAAATAACACTGAAAAGTTCATAGCATCCTCTCCTACAGACTTATGGACTTGTGTTGACCTATTTGTGATTAGAATTCTTTGTGAAAAAGTATTTCTCAAAGTGTTTATTGTTATTTTTTAAATCCTTGAGTATTGCACATGCCACCAATCAGAACTCAGCTGTTTCTCAAAGACAGCAGGAAGGGTCAAAAGGCCTCTCTGGACAAGAGGGAAAAATAAGTCAGAAATAGAGACTATTTGTGAATGACCCAAGCACCAGTCCTCAGGCCTCCCGGACAGGTGCGTACATAAAGCACGAGATGAGTGAGACTGCAGAGAAATGGAAGAGAGGAAACAGGCAGGCTGGAGCGTTTGACAGAAGAGCCACTCTGCAGCCCACAGCCCAGCCTGCGCTTCTGTCATACATCATTAAAATTAGGGCAGCTATTCGTTAACCAGTTGACTAGTTTACATCTGAAACAGTAAGAGAATAGTCGTGCGGCTCTAGCCATTTTATACAGTACTACAGATATTTCCTATTGTTCTTTAACTATGATGTACAGAAGTGGTTACCATTTCCATTCTGTAGATTACAGTACAGTAAAGCAATCTGACTCCAAGGTGAGTGGTAATAGCACACTTCTGTATTTTCCAAAGTGATGATGTCTACAAATTGGTTTCAGAACGACACAGGTGGCCTGCGCAGCCTCGTCAACAAGTGGACCACCTTCCTGAAGGCGAGGCTTGTGTGCTCCGTCACCGACGACGAGGGGCCGGAAACACACTTCGACGAGTTAGGTACGCAGACTTGGAAGACAGCGCGCAAAGCTCCGCTTTGTAGTAGTTTCTCAGGTGACCGTGCAGCTTCCGGTGCAAATAATGTGTCCATTTTAATCAGTCATCTGGGCTTTGTTCATCCATTTCCTTAAGTATTTTCTTAATTTGTTTTGCCCTTGCATGACTGTTGAAATAATTCTTCCATTAAATTTACTGTAATATAAAGTGAATACATATGTGTGTGCATATAGGTGTGTGTGCCATGTGCTTATAAAATTATATATAGAGAAGGATATGCTTTGGGCTTAGAAATGAATCTGTATTTCATGTATATGTAATATTCTGACTTAAAATCTTTTCATGTAAGAATATAGCCTTATATTTTTACTATCAAATCTAAAAGGCAGGATAGAATTTGGATGGAAAAGTGTCAGAGTGGAAATTACGGGGAAATTAGCATGCTTCATCTTAGACCTGCTCCTTGACCGAGGACTAAGTAGGCCCAGCAGGACATGAAAAGGTGCTCACTTTCCAGAACAAAAAAGACTGACAGTCTGATTGTTCTCCAGCAGGGAGCAGGTCTCTCTGACAGGAATAACACAGTGACAACAGCATTTCCTAGATACTAAGTGCACCAAAGAGTGACTTTTCTTTTGCTTTTATCTTAAAATGGAAATTGATGGTTATTCTCAGATTTTGAGGCAGGTGATAAACTACCAGTAACAGCTATACATAATATCTGTATTGTATATACTGCATATTCAATTGTATATTATAAAATTGAAATATTACATTGTATAATGTAAAATTGTATATATACAATTTGGGAAAAATTTAGTGTTCTAACAGTTATGAAACTGAAATAGACAGTTGTTCTTAAAGGCCAGTGTGCTCTGTGTGTATCAATTTTTCCAGAAGAAGTTCCAGTTATCATTTTATGACATAGTCTAGACCAGTGGTGGCAAACCTGTGGAGCACATGCCACAGCTGGCTCTTTGTACCCTTGAGAGCTCTAAAAGCTTTGCCATCACTGTCTTTCATTATTTCCTCTCAAATTGTATATACATTGTGCTTTAGACTTGTTCTTTGGGATAAAGCTAGACATAACCTTTATTCCATTTATGCAAAGTCTAGTGGTTATTAACTTGTCACTGAAGGTGTCCTAAACTCATTGTTAACTTATATAACTGCATCTCTCTTCATATTTCTCAGCAAGAACTAAATTTGCAAAATTTCACTTAACCCTGACCATTCTTACATTCTTTGTAATTGTTTGCTAATTGGGTTTTTTTATCAGAAAACCTTCATGTTCAGATATGAGAGTACTTTGTCTTTACTATAATATACTTAAAACATCTTACTGTTAGAGGTGCAATTTCAACTTTAAGTCAAAATGAAGTCCTATTTTATGTGAAGAAAAGTCACTTCAAAAATTTTTTTCCATGTTCCTACCTCTAATTCTAGGTTTAAAAGAAATTGAGAGTTGTGTTGTTTTTTACATTTTAAAAAACCTGATATTTTATTATTAAAGGATATTTTGAAAATTCCCAAGCAAAGGTGCAGCAAGGACATTTCTATAGCTAAGCTCTCTCTCCAGAACTGTCACAGCCACTGCTCCTTCTGCTGCCCTAGGTAGTGTGAAGTTTCCTGTGCCTCCATCCATATTCCATGCCACTGTGTTCTTTCCACTTCATATTATTTCATTAGAATTGTTCTCATAGGGAAACAGTCTTCATAAATCCTGATAGTCTCTACTGACATTTTAATTTAACATGTGCTTATCATTTAGTTATTTCTAATTTATAATGATGTATCATAAGTAACTTTCTGAATAGTACTTCCAGGAGTTGAAGAAGGGAAATTTTAACAAACACATTTGCTGTTTAGAAATTTTAAAAGATTGATGCTTCCCTTTTTCTAGAGGATGTGTTTCTGTTGGAAACCGATAATCCAAGGACAACTCTGGTGTACGGTATTTTTACAACATCAAGGTAATTATTAAACAATGACATTTTATGAGTCCAACAATAAACTTTATTGAGTAATAGTAAATATTATGAAAACATTCTTGTCTTCAACTTGTAAATTTAAAAGAAGTGTGGAGTAAAGCCCTCTTGTTTTACTTATTTTTTCCAGGTTACTAAGATATGTTTGAGCTTGAAGTAGGATTTCAAAATAGTTTGCATTTGTAAAGATTACTTGTTGTGAATTACAATGTAACAATGAAGTATGTAAGATATTTTTTCTAAGAAAATAGTCTTAACAGTCATGTTTCAAAGATGATCTTTGACAATTTATTGTCATTGTTTGAGGTCAAAGACATGTTTATTAACTGGATTACTCAGTGGAAACGCAAGCATACGTATGTGTCCAAACTTGCTTAGTTGTACACAGCAATATTTATAATTCTTGTGCACCATTACCCTTCAGGAAAAGTGTAAAAGTGTATAGCATTGCTAGCAAAGTAACTTTCACTATTTAAAAACCAACAGAAACTAAACTAGTTATGTATTCTACATGGCATGTTTTTCGTGTATTTCAGAATCGTTTTTCTATTTTCTAGTTTCTCTGAGATGTTCAGTGTCAATTATTATATACCTCAAGACAATTCTCCATGCCCACACCTGCCTTGAGGATATTTCTGTTAGTTAATTTTGTACTAGGAGCCTTCCTCTGAGCCCAGACTCACATTTTACCATGACTGCTAGGCCGGTGTGGGATGTGTTGGGGCTTTCCATCACACAGTCAACAATTAAATGGAGATCTAAAGGTTTTAATATTATTTTTGAGTGGGTTGAAATATGGCATAATTGTTAACTGCGATGAGCTATTCAAAGAAGAAAATGACAGATGTACTGATTTTCAGTTATCGATGTTTTTCCTGAAAGACGTCTTTGGGATATTCTTAACTCCTGTGTCACCAAAGGAGTAGGCTCACTTTAACTCACAAGGAATTGAGCAAAGAAAAAAATAATCAAATTCTTTAAAAAGTATCAATTCCACTGAAACACTCTTGTCCTCTTTTTCCAATACCAATAAATTTAATACTGAAAACATGAAAATCATGATTTCTGACTATTGATCCTAGTGATATATAACAATATATGTTGTTTCTTTTTATGAGGGCACAAAACCTTTTGCATTAGACCTCCACTTTACAGTAAATGCATAAATCAGAGAAATGTTAGTTTCAGTCAATCTGATGTAGTGACAATAAAAAAATTTTAGGGAGTCAAACATACTTTTTGAGATTTTTACCGACTGAAGATTATTGACGAGTGTTTTGTGGGTGCCTTTTTTGCCTGTAACACACAGAGGAGGAACTAGGATGAAGACAGCTTAGATTACAAGTCAGGAAGACTGAGAAGGCTCTCACCTCAAAGTCATCTCACTATGAAAAGATGGTGCGCTTTTATTAACGGGATTATTTAAGAATTAAATGCATTAGCTTACACTGATAGTGATCTGGGATTCAAACTTGTATCATAAAATCATCAGTACATTTTTTTGTGGCTAAAATGAACTAGTTCAAAGCTTCTTTGTTCTATTTTGGGGAACATTCAGAAGAATTTTTCCATAACTTGGTACTGTCTATGTCCTCCATGTGAATTAAATATTTGAATGCTGTAGGTATCAACACCTTATTTCAATTCAGCAAAAGTTGTTTAACTTTACACTTCTGCACCACAGCATTCAAGTTTCCCGTGATGAATCAGGTCAGCTCTGTATCATAAACTTCACCACCTATTTTTAAAGTTAAAGCACTGTTTATACAGTAAGAAGATAGACTCGTGTTTACTTTTGCAGCTCCGTCTTTAAAGGCTCTGCAGTGTGTGTGTACCACCTGTCCGACATCCAGACCGTGTTTAATGGGCCCTTCGCACACAAAGAAGGGCCGAACCATCAGCTGATTTCCTACCAGGGGAGAATCCCGTACCCTCGCCCTGGAACTGTGAGTATGTAGGGAAGTGTCCCTGTTATCACGCTGATCCCTCAACAAAAATTGAATGCCAGTTCGTATTCATTAAATACAGCTCCAGGTCTCCTGCTGTGCTCATTCTAATGTTTCACTTGAGGTCGTCCGGCTTGAGGACTCCAAAAATCAGGACTTTATTAACCTGTCACGTGTGACATAATGCTCCATTTTTTAAAGTGCTGTTGCTGACAAATCTCCTTTAGATTCCAAAACATCATGTAAGCCACACAAAGAAGACATATTTTTCTAATTACAATAGAATAGGCTCTGAAACTTCAAAAGTGTTAACTTTTCAGGGGAAACTGAGGTATTTGGATACTGGTTATATTTTACAGCACTTCCCTCTATTGAGGAATACCACCTGTTTTAATAAAGGAATAACCAAGTGAAAATGAACTTAGATATGACTTATGTGGAGATTTTTAATTTTTAGAGATGTACCTCCTTTAAAACAATGTGCTATATCTTTCTCAAAGAAAAAAAAATGTTTGGCATATCTGAGTAAATAATTAAAATGTAGGTGATAATTTAAAAAAATTTATATACCATAAAATAATATATACATTAGAATTATTTAACTTTTTTTTAAATTAGAAATCCCCTAAGTGAGAATGACTATTTCTGAGGGGTTTATAGATGTCTACCTATTATGCAATGTTAATAACATGAAAAGGCACATGTAGGGTTACTTTTTCAACTAAGATTCAGAACATTCACCTGCAGATTGCAATGGGAATTTTTCCAGGATTCCAGTTTAAAATTTCCTGTTGTTTACTTTTCACCTACCCCATAGTTACACTGCTTTCTAGATTATTGATTAGTTTGTCTCAGGGCCAGAGATATGGCTCAGCAGCCCAAGCACCTGCCTGATTAGTTTGTCTCTGGAAAATGCCACACAGAACATAGTTTGAGAGAAAAGTTTCTTCAATTGCTCATTATGAAAAATATAATCTTCAATATTTCTCTATATTTTGGAGTAGAGTTATGAGTTACAACATGCAGTGGATGTAAATAATGAATATTTTATAAAAAAGACCAAAAGATAGGTAATACAATACTCATGTAAACATAACACTTATGACCTTTTTATTGAACTTGACATTTCCTTTGCTAATTCTGTACTCCTTTAGATATTGATCCCACATTGTTTTTACTAATTATTGACTTGCTTCATTTTTTGTGCCATTATAGTATATTTATAATGTATTTTTTCCCTTTATTGTCTTACTGTCTTAAATTTGCCTGCTATTAGGGTTTTTAAAAAAAAATTCAGGAAATATCATTTGCAAAGCCTTAAAAAAGCTATTTATTTACAATTAAAAACACTTGAGGTTTGAGACCAGCCTGGGCTACAAAGTGAGATCAAGACCAGCCTGAACTGCATAGTGAGACCCTGTCTCAAAAAAAAAAACAAAAATTAAGTTAATATGTGTAAAAATTACTGACTGTCCCTATTACAACTGTATCTATTATTTATACAGTTACATAAATATTTTCTCATTGTTTTACAGTTACATAACAGTTTCCTACATAAAAGTATCATAATTGTCATAGTTGATAAATATATAAGCTGTTTCCAGTTTGCTGAGATTACAAACAGCACAGCAATTAATTAGGAATGCTCTCTGGAAGTCTGTGTCCTAAATTTCAGTAAAATCCATGATAACATTTCATTGAGAAAAAAAAAAAGAAAACACTTGAATTCGGTTCCCTGGGTAGGAAGCCCAAGCGTTAGCCATTTACATAGATTTTATATAACACAATTAACTTTTAATTAACTTGGGAGAAATTATGAGAATTGTTACTTATCCCTAAAACCGGTACATTTTTAAAAGTTATGTTCATCATACCTCACAGTACCATGAAGTTCACACTGCCCTCTGAAGTCACCACTCCTTGATGCTCACAGCTCAGAGAAGTAGGGGCAAACGTCTGCTCCTTTTATCCAGCTCAAGGACACAACTGAGCAGTCGTAGCGTCTCAGACACCTGGGACATTGGAGCTGGGTGAAGGGAAGGGAACAGAGAGAAAGGAAGGACGGAGAGCAGCTTGCAAATGCCACCGCAGGTCACAGGCTCCCTTTGAACCCTCCAGAGAACTCACGTATTCCCAGAGAATGCGCTTGCTCAAGGATCAGGCAGGTTCTTGAGGATGACTTGAAGTTGATCTGGCCCTAGTTTCCCATCTACAGGGAAAGTGGAGAGGTGGCTGTGATTGTAGATACTTTCACAGAATCATTAATGATTCTTTGAATAAATATGGGATTTGTACAGGAGTAACTGGTTTTGTAGGCTCCAACTCCATTCTCCCTTAATCCCCAAAAACCTTCTCAAGAGGAGCCCAACAAGGGGATAAACCCAGAAGCAGATAAAAGAGGACCAAGCTGGCTTAGCAAGAGTGCGGGCACAGAGCCTCGCATGGAGTGTTCCAGGCCAACCTGCTCGGGGCTTTCCGAGTAGAACGTGTGCATGGCGTGCGCCTCTGCTCAGCTGCAGACATCATAGTGGTAACCGAGTTAGTCATGCTGGAAATATTAGCACTGTGGAAATGGGCAGATGCTACAAACCAGGGTTTCCTTCCCCGCTGAAGAAAGGCCACCTCGGGCCCCACCTCGGTTCTGCGCATCAACCACACCACCACTAGAACGCCACCTTAACTCAGGCAAAGAGCTCTGAGAATCACAGTGAGGAACTGCTCACATCAAGAAGCCATTACTCTGTATTACATGGCCATAGGTCAGCCCTTTTAGTGAACCAAAATAAAACCTATGTGAAATTAGAAAATCCTACAAAAAAGTCTCTGTTCACAATGGTTTAGCTTTTAAGAATAAGCATTTTTCCTTCCCTGTTCTAAAGCAGGGTAGAACAAGCCAGGGCCGGGTGACACACATCTGGAATAGACTCTGCGCAGAAAGGGAGTAGGACATGCTTAAGACATATTTCTGTAATGTGGCTTCTTCCATCTGGTGTTGAGACCAGAACAGCTCTTTTAAATCCAAAAATTGTCAGATGAGTGGTCCCGAGGGGAAAGAGAGGCAGGGTGGAGGAGTGACCTTGGAACTCCTCCTAGAAAATCTAGCTTCCCGAAGATCTGGGCCCTCCACCCTGCTTAGGCAAAACCCATCAAGTCAGCTCCGTGTGGTGAGTCAGAGCAGCCCTGTGGGTCTCTTCCCGGGCTTCCTGCTCACGTGGCGAGGAGACCAGCAGCCCAGTGCCCCGCAGTGTTCTTTCCCTGGTTAGGAATGCTGCCTCTGAAGTCCTCCCAGTGAAGGATCAACTGGGATTGTCCTGCTCTATTTCCCCTCACAGTAGTCTGGTTGCCGGGTCAACCCCATAAATAGATGACCCTGGCAGAAATCCTATACCAGTGTTCGAATGCTCTCTGTAGGTGCTGCTTTTCCAGTCGGGCTGATCACTGGTTAGCAAAGGGCCTCACAGGCCGCTTCAAGTCAGAGGCAGGAAGCCAGCCAGCGGTGTCATAACGTTTTCCATCAGGAACTCAAGTTTGTGGGAGAAACAAGACACCTTTGGTATGCTGCAAAGGGCAGCCAAAGACTGCACACTCTCTCTGTGGCCCAGCTAACAAATTACATTATTCTGTTGCAACATGTACAAAGCCTCTGCAGAGGCCGATTTTGTATATATTGCATATCCTGTTAAGGCAAGGCTAAATATAAGTGTTCTATTTTAACCTCTATTTGTAAATGTAGCAGAACCGTCTAATTCAGTGTCCAAGGAATTACGGTTCCCTAAATTCCTCAACCTTTGCTCTCCCATCTCTGAACTTCTTCACTCACCCTGGAAGCTGTACCTTCTACACTACTCTGACTTAATTTTAAAACATACTGGCTTTTGTGTGCATGCTTCATGATCCAGAACCAAGCAGTTACTTACTTCACACATGTCTTGAGTTCTCACTCTCTTTCTTGATTGTTATTGTGCTTTGAATATGTCTGTCTTCTTTACTAGAGTATTTGTGTTTAGAAGATAACAGTAATTTCTTATTTGTATGTCTTGTCTGGTGCACATCAACACGGTTTTTGAATAAAATATGTCCAAAGAATGGGTGTATATCTGTTTACACCCAGATATATCCAATCTGATAACTTCCACAATAGATGTGAGGCAGTATTCAGTATTCAGGAGAAGCAGGAGGTACAGATGTTTGTGGCCACCCGACTTAGGCAGGACGACATTTGGAATACTTCTTTCACAGTGCCTGCCTCCAAGTTCAGTAACTTAAATTGTCTTCTCTCAAACAAGGACTTCTTATGGCTGCCTGATAAACAGGAAGAGAATAAACTGAAGGAAAACAAACCCTGAAAAAAGAACTTGAACCAAAATTATTTAATGACTGTTTATTGAGTAAAGTTTAGTTTCTGAAGAATGAAACACCAGCCTCACTCCCAGATGTGGCGGTGATGTTCTGATGGCCCATGGATGTTCTGCTATGTGGGGCTTTGGTGCACCTTTTCCCTAGGTCTGGGACCAGGGGAAAGATAAGGCATCTTGTTTGGAAGTGGGAGCATCACAGTAGTCAAATAGTGTCCACAAAGGTCATCACCTCTTATTCTTGCCGCTACTCTTATCACTCATTCTGTATCTTATCTGCAAAGTTTATGCCATGAATAATGCAGGAGTTACTGTCAAAAACTTTACAAATTTAAAAATAAATCCAAACTTGGAGACGCTTGTTTCTAAGGGAAAAGTTCATTATGAATACACACACACACACAAATTTTTAGTTGCCAATGGAGAATAAGTGTATAAGAGTATAAAGTCACTGATTTGAGCTTATTTGCTTGCATCTTCTATTTTATAATTATGGTTTCAAGCAACCTTCACAAACTTCTCTGAATTTCAGTTATCTTTAAGTAAAAGCCAGAAACTAGGCACTGATAGTTTCAAAGCTCTTCACACCAGAGCCTATGCGAACTGGAAATAGTTAAGAATTGCCCGGTGATAGATGCTAACTTTGGATCTTTCTGGAAGTTACAAATGTGAATGCTTGCAAATATTTAATGGGACATCTCAGCTCAGCAAGCCATAATTAGTGGTGTTCTGTGAAGGTCTGGAACTCTGCGAAGTGCCCATGCATTGTTCTTTCCATGTTTTCATTTGCTGAGCAATGCGTTTCCCTTTTCCACTTTGAGTGAAAACTAAAGGAGAAAACACCCTTAAGTCCATATTTTGCAGAAGCGTGGAACACATCCCACAGCTCAAACAACCTCAAATTAAATTCTTTGTCTTCATCTTGGTCTTCATTGCGGGCAATTTGTAAGCCTGTGTTCTTAAACATGATGCCTTTTCTTAACAGAAAGACACATGAACTGAAGACAGTGGAATAAGGGAATAAGATAATGGAATAATGGAATAAATAGCTTTGCTGTTGTCTCCTTCTCTCTCCTTTGTTAAGGAGAGAGATCACTGCCCTTAGTGCCTTTTTCCAAAAAGAAAGCTGTGTTTCCTGGTTCTGTGCACAGCTGTGGTCCCACTAACTCTTCAAGTTAATCTGGAAATTGCACCCTTGAAGATGTAGTCTAAATCAGTCAGATCACACTGGAATTTACAGAGATGCATTGGCAAATATGATTCTGTTTGGCAAGCAACTCAAAGACATCGGTAGTACTGGAGTCTGTTCCATGGGTTTGAACCCAAGGTGTCCATGTTCCCCTTGGGACTCAGAGTTGTTTTTCTTTCTTAACTGAGTCAGCTTTGAAGATGTGGCTGATTTAACACAAAATTCTGCATTGCTATTTTTCTGCTGAAATCTAACAAAACTAGCCTCATATTGCTGCACAAGAGGAATCATTGAGAAGGAGGGGCCATCGATGCCTTTGGGTAATGTGCGACTGTCCAGTTGGTCACAGTCCCCATTGTGTCTCCCCTTGTACCCGTTGCCCTTAATCAGGAAGCTTTCTGGTTCCTTTCCTCTTACCTCCAACCTCTCTAATGAGGAGCAATGAAACTAGAAGAGAAGTGTTATGAAACTAGAAGAGAAGTGTTATATTTTTCAAGAAAAATATAACAGAGTCTTTCTGTTCCTGGAAGCAAAGCTTTTGTCAGGTATTTAGTAGGGTTAGTAAATAGCACTTATATGTGCCACACTGTACAGCTTCACTTATATAACCCAGTGTTTGGCTCCTACTCACTAGCAAGTTGTAATTCCCAGCCTCAGTAGTTCCCACCGTACCTTGGGCTTGGCCTCAGATGCTGTATACATGGCTCCTTCCTTTCAGAAGCCCTGGCCAGTGTCTCTTTCCAGAACCCAGAAGCCTTCTATGGGTCCATTTTTTAAATCTCTTTATTGCTTTCTATCTGCTTCCTAGGATATGAGTCTCTGAATTCCATCTCCCATCCAGAGTCCAGGTCCCAGTTCCATGCAGCCCTACACCAAAATCACAATGGGAGATCATGAATGATATAATGCACACTCAACTACTCAATATCTACTATCACCAGCTTTGTTATAGCTCCAATGTCAGAGTAGACCCTTTACTGTCAACCCACAGATTGCACTCTCCATAGAGAAATGAACAGATACGTATAGCAAGGAACACTTGATGCACTGTTGGGGAGGGCTGTGAAGAGAAGGGTCAGGCTGAGGAAAGAGTGGAGATGGGGAGAGGAAGCTTCTTGTATGGCATGGCGGGAAAGAAGTCACTTTTGAACTGAGACCTGGTAAAGCAACATACAGACATGGGACAGGCTGTAGAAGAGCATGCCAGAAGGGGAAAGTGGGTGCAGGGGCCAGGAAGGGGGCAGCAGGGGCACAGCGCAGGTGGCAGCAGAGCTGCACCACACAGAGCTTGAGAGCATTGAGGCTGTTGGGATCACCCTCTTGGGGGCAACCATGACTGGGGTCTGTTCCGGAGGAGATAAGCAGACCTAACACCCCACACCCACCACTGCATCCCTCCTATAAGGGGAGATCCAGTGGGATAAAATTTTTGCATGTTGGAGTTCTGCTTGAATTTGAAGATGCCCATTTAATTTATTTTAACCAATAGCACCATAAGATGGCATCCACAAGATATTTTTTAACATTATAGTTTCTGGCACAAAAATAAAAAATAGAAAAGTGATGGATGAGGAGAGTGAAAATTATATGAAATACAACATGGAATCATCTCTCTGGAAACAAATATGGTGGGATACATGGACCTAGACTCATTTGGTGACCAAACTAAACACAGATATAACCATCTATGTAGTCAGGCTGTTTATTTTCTCCCTAGTGAATAACAAATACACTTAAAACTACTGGACCTTCTAAGTGTTTTTGAAAAGAGGCCTTTTGTTTACCACTAAAATGAAGTGACTTTTTTATACTGTTATTTGTTACTTTTTAACTGCCTTATTTCAGTGTCCAGGAGGAGCATTTACACCCAATATGCGAACCACCAAGGAGTTCCCAGATGATGTGGTCACTTTTATACGGAACCATCCCCTCATGTACAACTCCATCTACCCGATCCACAGGCGGCCTCTGATGGTCCGCATAGGCACCGACTACAAGTACACAAAGATCGCCGTGGACCGCGTGAACGCAGCCGATGGCCGGTACCACGTCCTATTTCTGGGAACGGGTGAGTGAGTGCAAGCTGTGCTTTGCAGAGTATGTGGTAAACCAGAAAGATCCCAGTGTCTGCCCTTGCCTTGAGTGAGGTATTGAATCTCTCTATGCCTCAGTCTCCACAACTATACGTGGAGCTATTAAGATAAATTATGTTGCAAGATATCTCGGGGGAAGAAGTGTGTTAGTACATGTAAATCATCTAGGATAGTCCTGGCACCTACTAAAGACAACTAGAGGATAATGGGCAAAGTGAAGGGCTGGAAAGGAATATATAGTGTGGGTAAGCACGGTATTCTTCAGAAGGAAAGTAAATTCAGACGTTTCAACCTATACCTGGAGCCATTTCCTTAGGGTGATGATAATGGTGGATAACACATTGCAGAAAACATTTGGAAACAAGTCTAACTAGAATATACATAGCCTTACTGAAAATATATATGTGGCTATTTTAATACACCCACAAATTCTACTTGGTGGATGTATTTTAATGGAAGTCGAGTGGAAATATTCTTGTTCACATGTTCATAGGCATCCGTGACGAGTGATTAGCGAGTGTGTCTTGTAATGGTGATTCTCAAAGTAGGGACAGTGCAGGACAGCAGAATCCATGTTGCTGAGTACTTGTTAGAAATAGAAGCTTCCAGGCTTCACTCCAGAAATTCAAAGGCTGAGATCCGAGTGCTTTCAGTAACTCTGGTGCACCCCACATTTGGAAATTATTACACAAGGGAAGGAAACCTCAGGCAACTGGTCAGGCTGTATTGAAAATACCTTTCTCTTCCTGGTTTATGTTACTTACTATAATGTCCTCTAGGTCAACCTGTGTCCTAAATAGCAGGGTTTGTCACATCTCTGACTACCACAAAGCAGTGTCAGAATCTCAGACTCACTGCCATTTCAGAATCAGTCTGTGAAATGCAATAGTTTCTCTTCTAATTCAGAAACCAGACGTAAAACAGGTCTGCAGAAGTCATTATAAACTACGGCTGTGATGGAGATCGATTCTGAACTAAAGAGTGGGTTATGCTCAGACTTCAATCAGTTTTAAACTGTGGTTACTTATTCGTGGCTAACTAAAATTTCCAGAGAGTGTTTTTGTCATAAAGTTCTTATTTTATCCCTTTTTATTCTTCCACCTAAAGTCCCAGATCTGAATCTTTCAGTCTCACAGAATTTCAGTTGGAAATTTCAGGGAGTGAGAATCTTCTAGAATGCATGACTTGGCACCTTCTCTGCATGTGGATGTCTCAGTTTTCACTTGTTAACTCTCTGCTGAGCAACAACCTTTCATTCCTCACTCTCCTCTCAAGTCTGCTGCCTGCCCCCCTGCCCTTCCTGGACCGAGTTATCTTATTTTCCTTCTGGAGGTGCTGCCATTAGTACATGTTTTCAGCCCATGTGATCACACTCATCACGGGAGATGTGTATGTGGACATAACATAGTTTCAGGGGTTTTTTCAATCCACCTTCCTCCTCTCCCTCCAGCCCTTCTTCCCATTCCCTTTTGAAAAAGCTCTATTTCCATTTTCCCTTTCAATTCTTTTTAAAAATCCCTTTTCTTTTTCTTTTTAAAGATAAAAGAATGAAAACATATTGACAAAAACACACACATTTAGAAAATAACACAAAAACAATACAAGCCGTACAGAATTTCCAGACAAGGTGATAGGAAATTAAAAGTGGTTATTGTATTACATATTACTATCTTCAAATTGGTTACTCAAACAAATATAGACATGTAAGATTGATCAAACAATTAAACATTAACTGTTCTTTTCAATAGAACAATAAAAGTCAGTAGTACAGCTATGTTAGCTATCCTGTGCATACATATATACATATTTTCCCCTTCTTTTTTTTCTCTTTTCCCTCATCCCAGTTCTTTCCTTTTGAGCAGTTTCATTTTGTTTCACAATGACTATAGTACCTCCTAGATTTTTTTCACTCTTTCAGGTTCTTGCACTAGTGAGACAATATGGTGTTTGCACATGCAGGTCTGATTTATTTGATTTATGAGTATGGTCTCTAGTTGAGTCCATTTACCTATAAAAGCCTCGAGATTATCTTTCTTTATAGCTGAGTGATATTTCACTATGTAAAAACACCACAACTTTTTTATCCATTCCTCAGGTGATGGGCATTTGGGTTGCCTCCAAGATTTAGCTATGACAAATTGCTAAACATGGGTGCATATATATCACTGTGATATGATGTTTCCTGTTCTGTGAAAATAACCATAAGGGGAATAGCTATATTGAATGGGACCTCTAGTCCTAGTTTATTGAGGAATCTCCAAACTGATTTCCACAGTGGTTTCATCAGTCTACAGTCCCACCAGCAGTGGAGAAGGGTTCCTTTTTCTCCATATCCTCACCAGCACTTGTTATTGGTTGATTTCTTATGATAGTCATTCCTACTGGAGTAAGATGAAATCTCAATGTTGTTTTAGTTTGCGTTTCACAAATGATTAACGATGTTGAACATTTTCTCATGATTTATTTGCCATTTGTATTTCTTAATCTGAGAAGTGTGTGTTCATCTCAGATGCCCATTTTTGGACTGAGTGTTTGAATTCTGAGGGGCTGATGCTTTTTAATTATTTATATGTTCTAGATAGAAGTCCTTTGTCTGAGGGACAGTCAGCTAGAATTTTTTCCAAACCTGTGGGTTTTTTTTTTTTTTTTTTTTTTACTCTAGTGGTGATTTCTTTAGATGTGCAAAAACTTTCAGTAAGATGAGATCCCATTTGTTGATTATTTGAAGTATTTCCTGTGTAGTGTGGTTTTTATTCAGGAACTCTCTACCTACCCCTATGTCTTCAAGTTTTTACCTGCTTTCTCTTCCAGTAGATTTAGTGTTTCTGTTTTATATTTAGATCTTTGATCCATTTTGACATGAGTTTGGTGCATAGTGATAGACATGGGTCTAGTTTCAGTCTTTGGTATATGGTGAACCCTTTCTCCCAGCAGCATTTATTAAAGAGGCTATCTTTCTTCCAGTGAACTTGTTTGGCCCCTTTGTCAGAGATGAGGTAGCTGAGTGTGTTTGTGGCTGAGCCTGCATCTTCCAGTCTGTCCCATTGCTCCACTTCAAATTGCTTGCTCAGATAAGTCTGGTTTTTTGCCAGTATCATATCGATTTTGTCACAGTAACCTTGTAGTAGTATTCTTTCAAGTCAGGGATTGTGATGCCACCTGCCTTGTCTTTGTTGAGCAGGATTGCTTTTGCTATTTTTGTCTTTTCTGGTTCCAGATGAATTTTAGGAATGTTTTCTCTAGATCTGTGAGGTACAATAATGGTATTTTAATTGGGATTGCCTTGAATCTGTACAACAATTTAGGAAGTATGGCCATTTTGAAAATGTTGGGTCTTCCTATCCATGAGCAAGGAATATCTTTCCATTTTCCAAAATCCTCTTTGATCTCTTTTTTTCAGAATACTGTAGTTTTCATTGTATAGATCTTTCACTTCTTTTGTTAGACTGATTCCTAAATATTTTAATTTTTTGGATGCTATTGTGAAAGGTATGGTTCCTTAAATTTCTCTCTCAGAGAAATTTGTTGTTTGTGTATAGCAGTGCTATTGAGTTTTGAGTGTTGACTTTGTATCCAGCTACACTACTGAATTTGTTGATTAATTCTAGGAGTCTTCTGATGGAGTTTTTGAGGTCTTCCATGCAGAGTATCATGTCATCTGCAAATAATGATAATTTCACTTCTCCCTTTCCTATTCTTATTCCTTTTATATCTCTCTCTTGTCTAATTGCTCTGACTAATGTTTCCAGAACTATGTTGAATAAGAGTGGTAACAGTAGGCATCCTTGTCTTGTTCCTGATTTTAAAGTGAAAGCTTTTAGCTTTTGTCCATTTAGTATGATGTTGACTGTTGGTTTGTCATAGATGGCTTTGATCAGATTGAGGTAAAGACCATTGATTCCTATGTTCTGTAGGGCTTTTATCATCAATGCGTGTTGGCCTTTGTCAAAAGCTTTTTCTGTATTTATTGAGATGATTATGTGATTTTTGTCTTTGACTCTGTTGATATGGTGTATTACACTGATTGATTTGTGTATACTGAACCATCCCTGCATCCCTGGTATGAGTCTTACTTAGTCATGCTGTATTATCTTCTTGATGATTGGCTGAATTAATTCTGTTTGCTAGTATTTTATTGAGTATCTTTGCATCTATGTTCATTAGGGAGATTGGTCTATAGTTCTCTCTTTTGGTTAGGTCTTTCTCTGGTTTTGGTATCAATATAATACTTGCCTCCAGAAATGAGTTAGGGAGAATTTCTTCTTCTTCAGTTTCATTAAAGAGTTTGAGGAGTGTTGGCATTAAATCTTCTCTGAATGTCTTGTAGAATTCAGCTGTGTATC